AAATACGCAGGTGCACAGCCTGGAAATTAATGTGTTAAAAGGCACAAAGACTGTAGAGATTTCTAAGTTTCCGCGGAGGCACACAGTATAACCAAGTGTTGAAATCTCACCCAAAGGCGTCCCAATGGGGGGGGGGAAGAAAGGCTCAGCCCGCTGACTGATCCCAGGAGTCAGGAGGTATGGTATCTTCCCTGACGATGGCATCTTCCCCGACCTCCCCTCTCTCTTAGGCCAATTTATATAATTTTCTATCTTTTAGGTGGAGCTTGAGTGACTCTAGTCAAGCATGGACGTTTAGATGTAGAGCTTAGGGATATGGTTTAGTGGGGACTGTTAGTGTTAGGTTAGAGGTTGGACTCGATGATCTTGAGGTCTCTTCCAACCTAGAAAATTCTGTGATTCTGTGATATCTTAGTTATGATTGGTGAAAAGTTTTCCCGTCTCCATTTAAAGGAATAGGTTCTGAGAAATTCAGAGCGCGTGCTCAGTGAGGGGTGGTCACACCTTGGAGGCGGGTAGCTTTTGGGATGGAGGTGTGTTTTGGAATTATAATTATATTATAATGAGCAAAAGTACACTAGAGTACAGCATTTGCCAAATTCAAAGGCAAAGAGTTTCTGGCTTTCAGTTGCCATGGGCAGGCAGAAAAAGGCATCCTTTCGATCTATTTCCATTTTTCCTTCTTCAAAAGAAATTTTGAATCCAATTTTTCCAGCAAGTCCCTTCCTAAGAAGTGTAATAAATGGCTCAGTCTTCAAAATAGGACTATAATCAAAGTTTACAATTTATTAAAGGAATAGAGGTAAGCAAACAGCACTGGGTGCGCCGGGAGTCTCTGCTCCACCAAGACGCACACCAGTTACATCAAGCAGCTGATTTTTATGCTCCTAGGCTGATACATATTCATTACTACTTCTAAAAAAAAACCAGGGTTATTATAATTAGTTTCCGGAATCCAAACCCTCCCACTGGCGCATGCGTATCAGTCTCCGGTGGTCCCTCTGGGGGTCTCTGGGGGTCTCTCGTGCTGAAGGCTCATAGTCTTCCTCCCTCTTGTCCTTCTCCTTTGTCCAACTTGACTGTATGTCAGAGACTTGTGCAGCGTCCCCTGCAAGCTTTGTCTTTTAGTCGTTCTTCAGCTCTCCGGGTCTCCTTAATCTCCTGGCCAGATATCAGAAACTTGCATAGTGTCCCATGCAATAGTCATAATAGTTAGCAGTTATTCTGAAACCCCCCAGATATCAGAGACTTCAAGGAAAAGCCTACAAATACATTTCCCTTCAAGCTCTTTATTGACACGAGTTGCTAAAACATTCCTTTGCAAGATACAAGAATTATATACATTAACCACTCTGTTTTTCTTAGACTTGTGGTTATACAAGGGTATGCAAGACAGAAGGTCACATTCATCATACCATGCGGCCCTACCACTGTTCCATACTGACACGAATCAGATGAACATATATCACAATCCCCCATCTCCTTTTTCATGGCATTGATTCGTGTTTTCCTTTCTAATCAAGTTAATACTTGCCGAATTGATGCCAATTGATACCAATTCTGGATCTTTATTTGTTTTTATTATCATCAGGGAATGGGTTTTCTCTTTCCCTGGTTCTGGGTCAACAGGTACCGCAGATATTTGCATTCCTTGTATAACCAAGTGTATTAGTCTGGTAATATTAAACATGGAATTATTAACAATCCTCCACATATCCCCAATACAACCATCCTTATTTTAGCAAACCAATCACCACCCATAAAGCCCCCTTCCATAATCCTCTTAGATCGACTCCATTCCAAGTTTGAACTGGGACACGTGCAATTTTCTTCATTTCTTTTACAAGTTCATTTACAGCTTTTCTTTCTGTTGTGGTTTAACCCAGCAGGCAGCTAAACAACACACGGCTGCTCACTCAACTCCCCCCCTCCTTCTCTGGGATGGGAGAGAGAAATGGGAAAGTGAAGCCTGTGAGTTGAGATAAAGACAAAAATAATAACAATAATAATGACAATAATGATGATAATAGTACTACTAGTAATAATGTGTACGAAACAAGTGATGCACAATGCAATTGCTCACCACCTGCTGTCCGATGCCCAGCCTAACCCCGAGCAGTCCGGCCCTCCTCCCAGCTCTTGCTGCACCCCCAGCCTGCCCGCTGGCAGGACAGAGTGAGAAGCTGAAACGTCCTTGGCTTGGTGTAAGCACTGCTCTGCAACAATTAAAACATCAGCATATTATCAGCACTATTCTCATCCTAAACCAGAACATAGCATTCTACCAGCTACTAGGAAGAAACACCCTCATCATCAATCTTTAAACAGCAATTACTAAAGTTAAATTTTCCACAGACTTCTCCTTCTTGTGCTAGTAAATAATCCAAAGCTAAGCGATCTTGATACAAAGCAGTTCTCATCTTAGTATTTTGCTTTGCAATTAATCCAAGTGCATCTCCACTTTTATTTACAACTATTTCTACTACAGCTTGTAACCTAATTATTCTATTAAGTATATATATTGGGGTCCTATAGCCCCAGGATCCGTCTTCTGCCCATGTATCTGGATCATAATAGGCAAACGCCTTCAGTCAAGGGGTTGGGCCCGCTTTCAGGATCGATTTGCGCTTGTGTTACTGTTCAGCCTGTCAGGGTGATCCAGCTCCTGGAAAACTAATCACAGTTTTATATAGGTTTAAAAAAAAAGAGGTTCTTATGTTATTTTCTTGGGACAACCTGACCTTAGTGTGGGAGAAGTCCAGTCGAGGCCCTCTCACTCGGTGGTCAATACCCATAGGGGTTGCCTCCCTCGGTAGACCATACACACCGCAGTGGAGGGTCCTGCCCCAGTCTTGCCTTCTCCCTTTCCTCCCTTCAGGCTTGTCCCCTTCATTTGGCGTCCTTAATTCATGAAGAGCCTCGTTGCCAGAATATTAGTTCTTCTTTAGCCTTAGTTTCAGTTCCCCAGAAGCAGACTCAACCCTCCAAGTTTTGGTAGTTACTGGTCCTTATATTCTGGATGCATGGGTCCAACCCCTTTCTGCTGTTCTCACAGCTGTTTCAGTTGTAAGTAAAACAAGGTACAGTCCCTCCCAATCGGGGGTTCAGTGATTCTTCCCTCCAGGTTTTTTTATTAAGACCTTGTCTCCTGGTTGTATCTTATGAATAACAAATCCTAAAGGTGGTGTTTGAGCCATCAGTCCAATTTCTCTTAGCTCTTGTAATCTCCTTCCAATAGTAATTATATATTTCTGGATGCTACGATCCTCAACTACATTGTTCCCTAGAGGCATCCCTTGAGAATAAGGCATACCATATAACATTTCATATGGTGATAATCCAGTCTCACTGTGTGGTTCAGTTCTTATGTTTAAAAGTGCCAATGGTAAGCATTTCGTTCAGGGCATTTGTGTCTCGATCATTAATTTAGCCAATTGTTGTTTTATTGTTTGATTCAGTCTTTCTACTTTCCCTGAGCTTTGTGGGTGCCACAGAGTATGGTATTCCCACTGAATACCCAATGATTGACATAATGTTATATATGGAGTGGTAATTCGTGTCAGAAAAATGGTTGATATTAATAAAGAAGGGGGAGATTTGGGAATGGGGCAATGGGGGTCGGAAAGCCTCGTGGTTGGTGATAACATCAAACTCTTTAACGATGAGGTCATCAGGAATGTAAAGAGTTTAGAGGAAATAAAGAAGGGTGATTGAGGCGACGCCCTGCCATCCGGGGTTGCTTGTTTTCCCCTCTGTTAAGGCACGGAAGTTGCGGGGGGGGGGTTGCTGTTTAGAACTGTTAACATTTATTGTTTAGTGTGGTTTCAAGTGTTAACGAAATGCGGGAAAAGCAATCACGTTTTGTTGCTTTCAGGACCCTTGTGGTGGGCAGAGCATGTGCAGAAGAAGAGGGAGACAGTCGAAGCCGCTCCTGCAGTCTGGAACAAAAGGTTGCTAATGGTGATGGGGAAACCGTGAGCCTTTCACCCACAACGACCACCACAAAGAGAATTATAATATGAAGCGGGGATAGGATATCCACATGTATAGGCGTACTCGGGTTTTCTATAAGCTGTTTTGTTTGTTTGTTTGTTTGTTTTCTCCCTCCCGTGGCTGCTTGTTGAAACACTTTCTTATTTATCTTCTGATAAGTTATGCAATGTTGTGTAATTTGCTTTGCTATTTAAAAAAAAAAAATTAAAAAAAATCAATGCAACCAAATTGTTTTAGTAAATGATCATTTGTACCTTTGTACCCCAATGTGTTTGTGCATGCAAACGTCCCAATGTTTGCTTCACATAAGCTTTTGACAATATCTCTCGCCTGTCTGGCAGTGTCCATTTTCCTTGTTCTAATTTAGCCCCTATTTTCTCCAGTTTCGTTTGTTTGTTTTGTTTTGTTTTCCATTGCATTTCATAGTCGGTCCAAAAATTCCGTAGGGGTTTCTTTTGGATCTTGTTGGAACAGATTCTCAATTCCCAATTTAACCACATTTTGGTATTTACCGTTCATTATTTCCGGGATGACTATAGTCTCAGTGTGGGGTCGGTCAGGGGAATGCAATCGTCAACAGTTCCATACTGACACGAATCAGATGAACATATCTCACAGAAGGACCTTCGCAAATTGTGTAAGTATAAAAATTAGGATCGTAAGTCTTATGAGGAGCAGCTGAGGGATCTGGGGTTGTTTAGTCTACAGAAAAGGAGGCTCAGGGGAGAGCCTTATTGTACTTAACAAATACCTTAAAGGAGGTTGTAGCAAGGTGGGGATTGGGCTCTTCTCCCAAGCACCAAGTGATAAGACAAGTGGAAATGGCCTCAAGTTGCACCAGGGGAGGTTTAGGTTGGATATTAGGACAAAATTCTTTACTGAAAGGGCTGTGCAGCACTGGAACAGGCTGCCCAGGAAAGCAACTGAGTCACCATCCCTTGAGGTCTTCAAGAAAGGTGTAGATGTAGAACTTAGTAGCATGGTTTAGTGGTAGACTTGTCAGTACTAGGTTACAGGTTGGACTACATGATCTTAGAGGTCTTTTCCAACCTGAATGATTCTATGAAAACGTTTTTTTTAAACCAAAATTTGAAACATTAAATATACCAATTTATTTCAAAGTACTTCATTTTACACAAGTCAAATTCAAATTAGCTGTAAGGTTCACTACTGCATTTCACCATCAAGTATTAAAACAAATAAATCAGTATACATCTGAGTTACATTTTCCACTACACTAATATCTGCTTAAAGGAGCTTGAAAAAGCAGCACAAACTAATCAACCATTCTACATTTTAAAAAAAAATCTGAATTAGATGAATTATCAACTTATTTGCTGCTTACCAAAATGTAGTATTCTTCAGCTAGATATAGTATTTTAGCTCTTAGGAAAATATACTGTTGAAGTGTTACAAATTACATACTTTTAATACACTTCCATGTTTTAAGTGTTTCACAATATGAGATGAGTAGCTACTGACTACTAGTGGTTTATCAGATTATCTCAAAATTAAAATGAAAAGTAACTTCCTGTAGAATCTTCTAGAAGAATTAACAGTAATATAGATACTGTACAACATATGTCTCAAATTTATATAATAGCCAGTATTCCCAGTAATCACAAAATGTCATGTTTTAGCTATTAAATCCAACAATGAATTTAAAGTGTGAAGCGCAGGAAGTTGAACAGGTGATGATTAACTACATGTCAGAGATGCTCTCACTCTTCAAAAGTGCTCCTCTGAATGAAAGAACCAGAAAAACAGGGTCAACATTTAGTGGAGAAACTACCACTGCATATACTGCATAATAAAAGTAGAAAATAGTAAATAAAAAGCATAATTTCTCTATTAATAAGTTCAGCTACCTTTACCATACCTTTATCTGCTGTCTTCTAAGCATTGCAAGTTCCGTCATATCTCGGAACAGCTGTAGTAAGTACTGGTAGAGCTCTGTGGTAGCTTCTGCAAGACTATTGTAGGCTTCATCTTCCATTTGATACAGTTGAAGCAGCTCTACCATGCTTTCCATGTTCTTATGTTTTCCCAGAAGCTGTAAAAAAAAAACAACAAACAACAACACACCACACAATTTTAACTGAATGAGTTCAAACATTCCTGCTAAGTGACAGACAGCCATTAAAAAAAAAAAAAAGTATCAGCTTTTCCTCTTATGTCATCTTCCCTTGCCCCCCCGCAAAATCATAATTCAGGCATACAAAAAGAAAATCTTAATCCCCACCCACATCTTGAACTTAGCCAGTCAAGTATGAGCACTTCTTAAATCGAAATGTGCAACGATCTTATTCTTTTTTTCTTTCAAAAAATCTCTGGAAGGTAATAAATATGAGCACAAAGAGAACACAAAAAAAAAACTTAGTACAAGAATCTATAACATATTAATCGAATATGCTACTTCACACATTTCCCACTTTCAGGTGTAGGGGAAAGAAAGTGATAGGAAAGAAAACAAGAAGTCACATTTTGAGCTTTCCAGTCATTTTCTCTTCTAGCCTGTCTGTACTTTAGACCCACACAGCCTCAATTTTATCAGTTTGTTTATTTATATAAAGAAAGAAAACTTTATTTTTTTTAAATCTTTCTTTACACCGTAAAGTTTGCTTCTGAAGATCCCATCAACCCCACCTCAAATTTCTTTGAAGCACTCAAGATTAGCCAAAATTAGAGACAGGATGCAGAGAGGCTCATGGTAGTTTTATTTATATGTTCAGCATTAAAATGATTGTCAGATGACAAGCCAGGAAGTGTTTTCCCTCAGTAAGGCTTGGCAGAGATGAGACATCTTCGAGAGATAGTATAGAACAGATGTGATGTTTCTCAGCAGCCTGAGACAATTTGTTGCATTACCTAAACAATTTCACCTAGGAAATTGTTCCTACTGCAAGATAACTCGCTATGTCATTCTGCTCTCTTCCAGCCTCATGTAAATACCACAGAATACTGAGTTCTCACCGAGAGTACCGGGTAGTGTTTTGTGGCTTGCAGTCTATAAAACTAATGTCTTATGAACTTTCTGGGCTAAACTTACATAACGTAGTCTGCAACTGTAGGGACAAAAGTCATCCTAGATTTCATGCATTATTCTAGCCCACTAGCAGTATTAACCATCTTGTCTATAAAGCCAACTCATTCCTCAGCTCCTTTTGTTTGTGCCTCAAAACAGAGTTGCCATACCCAAGCCTTCTCCTACTTCCACCTGGCACTATCAGAAAACCTTCTTGTATTCCCAAGCTGCAATTATCCCTCTGTCAAGGTACAAAAATTATTAAATCATGATACCCTACTATTCTATTAGTATACAAGTCTTAGAGGGCAACAACAACAACAAAAATAGAAAAAATAGAGAAAATGTATCAGCATTTAAAGGAGAATCTTAAGCAATGTCACTTCAGGAAGAGGGCTCCCCCTCCCCCTCCCCCCCCCGACCATTCTTTAGTCCTATTTAATAATTCTGATAATCTGGAAGACAGTCACAACTTTGCAGAGGTCAAAGTGAAGAAATGCCAGGAAATGAAAGACCATTTAGATTTTATGTTCATCAGTGTAGTACAGATATTTTCATGACACTAAAAGCATGTATCTACTTATAAGTAGTTGGTTGTTCAGTGAAAATCATGTCCATAACCAGAAACTGTAAGAACAAAGTAAAGAAGTACCATGACATTCCTGCACATAGAGAAGATAAGTAAATGGGCATAATTTCAATTTCAGTCTTGCCTGTGTCTAGTTCTATTTGGTCTGCTGCTGGGGTTTCCCCAATCCTAAACCTAGAAGTACTCCTCAACTTCTTCAGAAATGCCAAATCCCCATGGAGCAAAACTCTATATTTAAAAAGTGAGGGCAGGCTATTCATACAAAATGTATATCTTTTTTTAAAGTTATTAACACAAGGTAAGCAACCTTTCTTCCTTCCTAAAGCAAGAATCCACAGATTCCATTTCCCGTTGTGGGAATAGAAATGTTGTTTTTGCAGAGTTACATTGTTTAGAAGGAGGGAATGTGGTACTGAGATATGCTTACAGTGATAAGAAAGTTTAGCAGGCGACCTAGTAAAATGCAGACAACCAGTCTCCTTAGGACAATTAGGTGAAAATCACGGTGTCAAGTCAAGTCAGATAAGTGAAGAAACATTACCACTTCAAACAGTAAAAATGTCAAAAGAAATTTGAAATTTAACAGGCCGGCAACTGAAGGCCATGCATTGTTTGTGAAGCATCAGATAGATTGTGAACCTGGATTACCCACTCAGTGGGGAAACAGGGGAGGGTCCTGCCATCAAAAGGTATATAAACTGTGTTTTGGAACTAGTAGATGCGCTCTCTCCTGCTTGTGGGGCGCCCGCCATTGCAATCGCGAATAAATTACTACTTCACTGAGATCCTCGCCTGAGCCTAAGTTATTGGCTACGGAGTGTTTCTCACACCGTGGTTAATAAAGACCTTTCTGAATGAAAATAGAGATTAAGTTTCATTTAAACTAGTTATCAGAAAAGGCCTAACAAATTGGAAAACTGATTTGGAAACCAACATGTATCACCTTATTGGCATCCCTGCCCATGGCGGGGGGGGTGGAACTAGATGATCTTTAAGGTCTCTTCCAACCCAAGCCATTCTATGATTTGGTTTCAAACAAAGACTAAAGAGCTTTAAGACAATAGGGGTATTCTTCAACATAGGTAGAAAGGTTACCAACCTGTTAGCACTGGTTACAGACAACCTTATTACACCCATCCACCTATTAATATGTTCTTAAAAAGACTCATTCAGATGACACTCAGGGGAAAAACATCTGAACATTAACCTCCTCTGCAAAGACTGCAAATCAGCTCAGAATCACATCTATGTTACTTTGTCCTGTCAAATCAATACCATAAGAATGCTGCCAAAGATTTCACTTGGGTTAAGGGTTACATGAGAGAAGGAAGAAATCAAAGATAAAAAACAAAACAAAACAAAACAAAACAACAAACAAACAGTTTTGGACAAGAAAAACAAAAACAAAAAAACAGAAATTATGACATGCATTTGAAATGATAGTTATGATATACAATGTTTAAGGCAATATAGAATCATAGAATCATTTAGGTTAGAAAAGACCTTCAAGACCATCAAGTCCAAACATCACCTAACACTACCAAGTCTATTGCTAAACCACGTCTACACATCTCTTAAATACCTCCAGGGATGGAGACTGCACCACTTCCCTAGGCAGCCTGTTCCAATGTCTAACCACCCTTCCCGTGAATAAATTCTTCCTAACATCCAATCTAAACTTCCCCTAGTGCAACTTGAGGCTGTTGCCTTGCATCCTATCACTTGTCACCTGAGAAAAGAGACCAACATCCTCCTCTCTGCAACCTCCCTATATATATAGATAGATATATATATAGATGATACACTAGTTTAGAAACATGAAAATTCAACTAATACCTTTTAATAAGATGGAGACATTGATTAAGCTGGCCAAATGCCTAAACCAACCTGGTACCTTAAAAAAGTGAGCCTTCCAAGATTGTAGCATAAAAAACACAAACAATTTTTGGGGCATATTGTTGAGGGATTTTTGAAACAGCAAGGAGGCCATGACTTGCTTCAGCTGAGCAAACCAAGCTGCCAGGACGACTATGATAAGTTCCCATGACAGTGTTCCCACATCGCCCAATTGAGGAATTTAGAAAAATATTGTTGCCAGCAGCTGGCTTCAAGGACGGGATCTACGTGACTGCTAATCACAAGGGGGTTGTGTTTTCTTGCAGGTGGGGTTGTTTTCTTGCAGTTGTTTGTCTGAGTGCACTTGAACAATAATCTTGTGTGAGACACTATCCGCCCCTGTTAAATTTGCTATAAAAGTCAGGCTATTCGGGTAATAAAGGGAGAGAATGATCTGACTCTACTGGTGTCTGTCGTGTTTTCAGCCGTTCTTCCTGCAACATATGGCGCCCGAACAGGCTGGGAACTGGAGACGCTGAGAGACGCTGAGAGACGCTGAAAAACCTGAGAGACGCTGAGAGACTCCAAGAACAGACCCGGACAAGAGGTATCGCGGTGAGACGCGGAGACGGAATCGCGGTGAGATGCGAAGACAGAGATCGCGGTGAGACGCGGAGACAGAGATCGCGGTGAGACACAGAGACAGGATCGCAGTGAGACGTGGAGACAGAGAATCACGGTGGGACGCGGAGAAGTATCGCGGTGAGACGCTGGACATCCGGAGTCGAGTTGCTACAGGAGATCGGAGGCGTCCGTGAAAACGGCAGACGACCGCCACCGTGTGGCGATTTGACACATAGCAGAGGTGTGGAGATCACGACCCTGCGGCTCGTCTGACGTAACCACGGAGGAGGAAGCAGCTATCCAGCTTCTCTCTAGTATTCTCTCTAAGACAGGTGAATCTTGCAATGTAAAAAAGATCAAATCCTTGGTGCACTGGGCTCAGAAGGAGGGTTTTCTGAAGGAAGTCCCTCTAATGTTTAGCCCAGATGAGTGGCGGCACGTAGGAGCTCACTTATGGGATAAATCCCATAATTATGGGATTTAATTTAATTTAATTAATTATGGTACCAATCCCAGGTAATCTAACACAGCTTCTTGTAGTGGTATGGATTGCTGTAAACACCATTCCAAATGATCCTGAGTCATTGGTAGACTAATATCTCCTGGTTCCTGCCCGCTGATCTCAATACTCCGAGAGCGACCCTTACGTACTAACTCTGCGAGAGCTTCTGCCCGTGTCTGAACACTCGTTTTTGGCTGAATCGGTAGGAAAATCCATTCCAGGACTCGAAAATGCTGCCCTCTCATTCCACCCTTGCCATCACCTGTCGCATTTATGCTATTCCTATTACCCGTGCTGTTAGTGTCAGTGGCATCCTCCTGAAACCGTTTCTGTCTTTGTCGCCCCCTTACTCTCCCCCTTTTCTTTTTGCCACTGACCAATCACCGCAAATGGATGAGACACATGATTGCTAATTAGGAAGGAGAGTGCACCTTCTGCTATACGTTTGCAAGCAGAGCCAGCTGCAACCTTAGAAGCTATTTGTGAAAGAGCCTGCCGGTGGTCATTTGTTAGTGTAATCTGCGGCTCTGCACTCCTGCCCTGCAATAAAGGTAGTAATATAGCTAAGTCATCATTAGTAATCCGTACAATGTGGCAACCCCACTGAATATTGCCCAGGAACATTTGTACATCTGTCAAAGTATGTAACACCCTAGTTATATCACCTTTCTGTGGACAAATAGTAGAGTCTGATATTTTCCATCCCAAGTATAGCCATGGCTGTTTCTGTTGAACCTTCTCTGGGGCTATCTTCAACCCTTTTGCTTCCAAAGTATCCTGATTAAACTTTAAATCTGAATCCTGGAAGCATTCTGGCCTACCAAACCGAATGTTATCCATATAATGGTAAATAATTACGTCACACCACGCAGTCCGAATTGGTTCTAATGCCCAGGCCACATATAATTGACATAATGTAGGGGAATTCCTCATCCCCTGTGGAAGCAGTAGCCATTCATAGAACTTTGCCGGGGCTTGTTTGTTAATGGAGGGTACCGTAAAAGCAAATCTCTGACAGTCCTTTACAGCCTGTGCCACCACATCTGGTTGCCTGGACTGATCAGCTTTCTGTACCAACATGTCCTCTACCGGTGCGGTTCTCTGCAGTGTAACTAAGATGTTTTGAGTTTTTGGGTTTGCATTATCAAATGCAAGCATTTTAAACACACTGCTTTTAGACTCCGCTGTTAGATCAGGATGATCAGGAATTGCTACCCACAGCCGATCGATAAATTTAGCATATGGTTCCCCAGGGGCCTGTTCTACTGATGCGAATGGAGGTGCTTTCTTTCCCCCTGGGAGACTAAGAAGAGCCCTCAGTGCGAGCTGTGCAGCTGTTTGGTGAATAATCGCAGGGATCTGCAGCTGAACCTGGGTATTGAGATAAGGACCCGTCCCCGTTAACATCTCTGCAGTAATCCCATACAGAGGGTCCCTCAGTTGACGCAGTCGACCCGCTTCCCCCTGTGCTAACTGCAACCATTCCCTTTCAAACAATAACAATGGGGAAGGAGTTAACAATAAGCACGCCAAGTTTTGACTGTCAAGTGGACACATTAGTTCTGCCTGGAAAATCCATTGAATTTTCTGTCGAGCCGCCTGGGATCGTAAACCGTAGTCCATAACCGTTTTTCGAGCTTGTTGTAAAAGCTTGCAGTCATGAATTTGCCACAACCCGCTGCCTTGCACAGGGTGGATAATAATAGGGCAGGCCAAGGATGTAGCATGCCTATGCCCCTCTATGATAGCATCACGTATGACGTCGGAGCACCTGTCCCTCCTTGGTGCCGACAGTGTTGTAGCGACGGATAATGAGGGAGTCGGCTCTGGTGGCAACAATATTTTTCTAAATTCCTCAATTGGGCGATGTGGGAACACTGTCATGTCCAAAACTGTTTGTTTGTTTTTTTGTTTTGTTTTGTTTTGTTTTTTATCTTTGATTTCTTCCTTCTCTCATGTAACCCTTAACCCAAGTGAAATCTTTGGCAGCATTCTTATGGTATTGATTTGACAGGACAAAGTAACATAGATGTGATTCTGAGCTGATTTGCAGTCTTTGCAGAGGAGGTTAATGTTCAGATGTTTTTCCCCTGAGTGTCATCTGAATGAGTCTTTTTAAGAACATATTAATAGGTGGATGGGTGTAATAAGGTTGTCTGTAACCAGTGCTAACAGGTTGGTAACCTTTCTACCTATGTTGAAGAATACCCCTATTGTCTTAAAGCTCTTTGGTCTTTGTTTGAAACCAAATCATAGAATGGCTTGGGTTGGAAGAGACCTTAAAGATCATCTAGTTCCACCCCCCCCGCCATGGGCAGGGATGCCAATAAGGTGATACATGTTGGTTTCCAAATCAGTTTTCCAATTTGTTAGGCCTTTTCTGATAACTAGTTTAAATGAAACTTAATCTCTATTTTCATTCAGAAAGGTCTTTATTAACCACGGGAAATGGAATCTGTGGATTCTTGCTTTAGGAAGGAAGAAAGGTTGCTTACCTTGTGTTAATAACTTTAAAAAAAGATATACATTTTGTATGAATAGCCTGCCCTCACTTTTTAAATATAGAGTTTTGCTCCATGGGGATTTGGCATTTCTGAAGAAGTTGAGGAGTACTTCTAGGTTTAGGATTGGGGAAACCCCAGCAGCAGACCAAATAGAACTAGACACAGGCAAGACTGAAATTGAAATTATGCCCATTTACTTATCTTCTCTATGTGCAGGAATGTCATGGTACTTCTTTACTTTGTTCTTACAGTTTCTGGTTATGGACATGATTTTCACTGAACAACCAACTACTTATAAGTAGATACATGCTTTTAGTGTCATGAAAATATCTGTACTACACTGATGAACATAAAATCTAAATGGTCTTTCATTTCCTGGCATTTCTTCACTTTGACCTCTGCAAAGTTGTGACTGTCTTCCAGATTATCAGAATTATTAAATAGGACTAAAGAATGGTCGGGGGGGGGAGGGGGAGGGGGAGCCCTCTTCCTGAAGTGACATTGCTTAAGATTCTCCTTTAAATGCTGATACATTTTCTCTATTTTTTCTATTTTTGTTGTTGCTGTTGCCCTCTAAGACTTGTATACTAATAGAATAGTAGGGTATCATGATTTAATAATTTTTGTACCTTGACAGAGGGATAATTGCAGCTTGGGAATACAAGAAGGTTTTCTGATAGTGCCAGGTGGAAGTAGGAGAAGGCTTGGGTATGGCAACTCTGTTTTGAGGCACAAACAAAAGGAGCTGAGGAATGAGTTGGCTTTATAGACAAGATGGTTAATACTGCTAGTGGGCTAGAATAATGCATGAAATCTAGGATGACTTTTGTCCCTACAGTTGCAGACTACGTTATGTAAGTTTAGCCCAGAAAGTTCATAAGACATTAGTTTTATAGACTGCAAGCCACAAAACACTACCCGGTACTCTCGGTGAGAACTCAGTATTCTGTGGTATTTACATGAGGCTGGAAGAGAGCAGAATGACATAGCGAGTTATCTTGCAGTAGGAACAATTTCCTAGGTGAAATTGTTTAGGTAATGCAACAAATTGTCTCAGGCTGCTGAGAAACATCACATCTGTTCTATACTATCTCTCGAAGATGTCTCATCTCTGCCAAGCCTTACTGAGGGAAAACACTTCCTGGCTTGTCATCTGACAATCATTTTAATGCTGAACATATAAATAAAACTACCATGAGCCTCTCTGCATCCTGTCTCTAATTTTGGCTAATCTTGAGTGCTTCAAAGAAATTTGAGGTGGGGTTGATGGGATCTTCAGAAGCAAACTTTACGGTGTAAAGAAAGATTTAAAAAAAATAAAGTTTTCTTTCTTTATATAAATAAACAAACTGATAAAATTGAGGCTGTGTGGGTCTAAAGTACAGACAGGCTAGAAGAGAAAATGACTGGAAAGCTCAAAATGTGACTTCTTGTTTTCTTTCCTATCACTTTCTTTCCCCTACACCTGAAAGTGGGAAATGTGTGAAGTAGCATATTCGATTAATATGTTATAGATTCTTGTACTAAGTTTTTTTTTTGTGTTCTCTTTGTGCTCATATTTATTACCTTCCAGAGATTTTTTGAAAGAAAAAAAGAATAAGATCGTTGCACATTTCGATTTAAGAAGTGCTCATACTTGACTGGCTAAGTTCAAGATGTGGGTGGGGATTAAGATTTTCTTTTTGTATGCCTGAATTATGATTTTGCGGGGGGGCAAGGGAAGATGACATAAGAGGAAAAGCTGATACTTTTTTTTTTTTTTTAATGGCTGTCTGTCACTTAGCAGGAATGTTTGAACTCATTCAGTTAAAATTGTGTGGTGTGTTGTTGCTTGTTGTTTTTTTTTTACAGCTTCTGGGAAAACATAAGAACATGGAAAGCATGGTAGAGCTGCTTCAACTGTATCAAATGGAAGATGAAGCCTACAATAGTCTTGCAGAAGCTACCACAGAGCTCTACCAGTACTTACTACAGCCGTTCCGAGATATGACGGAACTTGCAATGCTTAGAAGACAGCAGATAAAGGTATGGTAAAGGTAGCTGAACTTATTAATAGAGAAATTATGCTTTTTATTTACTATTTTCTACTTTTATTATGCAGTATATGCAGTGGTAGTTTCTCCACTAAATGTTGACCCTGTTTTTCTGGTTCT